GTTTTCATTTATAAATATACATTTTGCTTATTAAAGTTTTCCAGACAACCCAGCAGACCTGTTTTTTTGGAGCCCGTATGTAGAACTGGGAACTGAATCCTCAGCAGTTTCATACCCACATGACGAGCCATAAAGAGCTGACTGGTTAAATTTAGAGATCCTATCCAGCGCTGCCGGCTGCTCGGTTCACTGCTTTGAGTGTGTTTAGATAACAGCACAGTAATTGGATTTTTTGCAGTGATATCTGGTGTTTTTACAGAAACACTGGACTGTATCTGACCTCAAATGTGAATCCATGCGATTCAGTTTTCCACGTCATGTTTGTGTTAATGTCCAAGCGTGGACAAAGAAGCTGCAGTTATTTCTTAAATAAACAGTGCATCAGACAGATTGTGAAAAGTGCCCAACATCCTGAAACCCAAACGGATCTTTAAATGTTTTGTTTTGTTGAACTAAAACTAAGATTCTGTTCACAATCAGAGTAAAAAGAATCGACAGCTTGTTCCAGCTCCACGGTGGCCATCTGCTGATTTCTTTCACAAAACTTCTCCTCGTTTTCTTTCCTGCTCGTCTGTATTAATGTTTTTTTTCCAGCACTAATAACTCTCTCTGTGTTTGTTTTGGTTCCTATCAGTATGGAGCTGATATTAAATCATCTAAACGCCGCTAACAGCTCCCATTATTATCAACCAAATGCTGCTTTATTGCATTACTCGTAAAAATTAAACCGCACAAATTCGCCCCAACATCTTAATTGCCCCCATCATCCTTTTATCTGCGTCGTTTGGTGCCGAGCCAGCGCATGTAATGAATGGAAATCTGGCGGCGTGTGCCTATTGTGTGCTGGGAAGAGCTGGGCGTAGGCCAGCCCCCTCATCTAATATTCAGCTGCTAGTAAAAGGGGGGATGCTGAGTGTGAGCCCGGCAGTGCTTGTTGATACTGACTGAGGCTTGTGTTGGTGTAACACTGCTAGTGAACTGACTGGTATAAGTTTCACCCTACACCGAGGTAAGGCTTACTTCCTCTTATTTTTTTGTCCTGGGACTGTGTGCCAAAATGTTTAATAACTGAACGGGTTTTGCTGTTTCTCTTTTGTGTCTGCTGGGTCTTGCCGGGCTTGTGTTTTGTTGATGTGTGCGAGCGCCCATCTGATCACCGCTGAACAGAGCAGAATGTTAACTGATTGGCTCCTGAGCGCTGTAATCGTCCAGCCATTGTGCTGAGAGCCGAGGAGCCGAGGAGCCGGGGAGGGTGTGTCAACAGGCTCTTGTCTCCGTCACTGTAAACAAAGGATTCTTTTTTTTCCCCTCACTTCAGCTCTGATGTGGAGGAGCAGTTGGCAGGTGAACCCTAAATGAAGAACGAGGGTCCGACTCAGGGAAACAAAACAGAAAGATCCCGTAGATGCGTATTGATCGGCTGCTCTGGATCTGGCCCGACTGTTGAGCCTTTGTACCGACGGCCCCAGCAGGCATGTGACATTTAAGCGTTTATTGACCCCGAGCCTGAGCCGCTTGTCTGAAGGATTACGGTGAAATATTGAGCAGCGTGTTTGCTAGTTATTATGGGAAACCCATCGCCAGGGCAACTTGCAAGCAATGAATGCAGCTGATTAATTCTGTGTTAGTGTGGCAGGAAGTGCGCCTGACTATGATGGAGGAGCCCAACTTGATGAATCATTAATGAGCTTTTTATCGATCGGCTGAGTCCCTCATACAGTAAAAGCAGCCATATTTCAGGGCTTTTTGTTTTTTCAGTGATGGTTTGGGCATTTTAGGAGATCATACCTTAATGTAGGAGGAGACGTTACTGGGAGACAAAAGTAGTAAAGCAGAGTTGCACTAATTGAGGCAAAGGGAATAAAATGGACTGAGCAAATGAAGGAACATGTTAAGATAACTCTTTAGAGAGCCTAATTCTAGATAATCTCCTCCAAAGCAGGCCCTGTGCATTGATTAGTCTGATGCAGACGATTACCTCATCATGTCTTACTGCTGTTCTCCCATCAATGCAAAGCAGCTTCTGTATAATAGTGAACGCTTTTGCAGAACTTTTTCTTTTGTACTCGAGTTCCACAACGTTCAGGCGGCGGCGGAGGCTAGAACAGAGGACGGCCTTGGTATAATTGGAGCACACAGTCGAGTGCACCGATGTTCAGAGTCATCGTTACATCAATGAATCAGAGTTTGCAGACGATTGTTTGTCCTCGTTGGTATTTGATGACTTGGTTAACTGTCTTGAATCGAGCATTGTGATTGCTGTGCCTTCATTATACTGAGCAGAGCAACTTCAGGTCATGTTTTCAGCATGAGCAGACAGAACCGCTGTTAGCTTTTGTCTAATGAGCATGT